ATTTTATATTCATCAAACCATTCAGTGACACACACCCCCATCATGATCACTCCCATCATGATAGAAATGTTTCATTGCAGGATGAAAGTGATCATTTAGAACAACATGGTATTATGAGCTTTCTCAGCCCCCTCTCTAAGGGGACAAGAAAACCTGAACCATGCCAGCAAAATTCCCCCCCACAGCATAACAGAACCACTGGGTCTTCTCAGTGCAGGGGTCAAGAATGCCAGTTTTTCCTTTAATTTGTCACCTGTCTGTACATGACTATAACCAGTTAGTTCATCAGAAAAGTGCAAACAAAGAGGGAAAAAAGTGGCAACAGTGAACAAGAGCTGTGGGAGGTTTAGTCAAATGATACATTGCATTGCAGAGTCCACGTTTCCACATATGTAATAAAATCTTTATTTCCCCTCAGTGAAACTTTTAAAACCAAGACATCAGAGCATCAGAACATCCCAACTGATTTACGATCCCATGTAGCAACCGCACGGGGCACAAAAGAGGACATTATGAAATCTTTAGGATATGAAAGAGGCAATTGTTTGCGTTCACGTGTATGCACGTGTGCAAATGTGTTCCTGCAGATGTTTTTTTTTTGTTCGTGTATTAAATAAAAAAGACTTGAAGGTTTTAACCAGAGAAGGCTGTTTGCCCCTCAGGAGGCTGAGCTGTTGCAGCATCCCCTGAAAGTCCCTTAGCTGTCAGATATAAAGATTAAAGTATTAAAAGTGGCACAAAATGCTAATGTCTCTACACTGCCTTTTTGATCGGTGGGATTAACATTATGCAGCGACAGAAGGTATTTGTGTCACATAGAAGAGAGCTGAAGTTGTGTACAGTATTAGTGCAGTGTACTGAGATAGAGATCAGAGGTTAATGATGTGAATCAGACAGGAACCAGACATTACCTTGAGTGTGTGGCTAATCTCCAGACCAGGCGCCTTAAGCTATGTCTGATAACATTGCTAATTATTCCAGATATAGACTCTGTGGGGATTCTTGTAAACAGGCGTATCAGTAGCAAAGTTTATTGTCGGAGCACTTTACACTGATTAAATGATACCATTGTTTGAGGTCTTGTATAAGTGAAACCTTAAAGAAAGCCTGACCGCAGCACATTAGGAGCTGTAGTTCATACGGCGAGGACACACCTGAAAACATGTGTGTTACCTCATCATTAGGCCAACAATGGGAATGAACTGTGAGCAACGTCACCAAAAGAGAGCCAGGCTACATTAATGAACTAACTGCCCACTCGCAAGGTATGTAGTGCATTAAGGGAAATCTATACCAGGTCTACGCTGTTTGAACACTGACATAGCCACACTCACTTTCACTCACTCAGGCACTGGTTCACACACCTGTAATGAAAAAAGAGCGGTAGGCATGCTGTGTGCAGGAAATAAGGAGAGAAAAAGTTGCAGGTCTGACATCGTTACTGCACTCTGTGAGATGCATGGAGGCCTGGACTGGGACTGGAGGCCGCAGCACTGCCTCGGGATAGTCTTCATAGCATTGTAATGAGTGTATGGAAGGAGTCTGGGCAGTGGTGAGCGCTGCAAGGCTCTGATGGTTTCCATGAATCTTTTTTAGCCTGAACAGAGCAGTGCAAGTGGAGCGAAGGTTATGACCTCTGCTCCTGCGTCTGATACTTTGTCTGCTCCTGCAATACTTCACAATCTGATGACCCTGAGGTCAGCTAAGTCTAATGCAATGTACAGACTGACATTTTGAAAAGTGTGCACTGGCCAGACCCTCAAAGGCAGACTGGTATCACAGAGAAACATGGAACAAAAAGGAAGGAAACTTTTTTCTTTCTGTCTTTTTTTTTAGTCTCTCTGTCATTTCTTACCATGCCTGTTTGGTTGCTAACCATGTTTGGGCTGCTGCACAAGTGATACACTGTTGTGGTATTTGCTGAAGAGCTGTAACATTAGATTTACTGTCATAACTTAGCGTTGGAGACCATGGTGGCCAGTATCCCTATTTGCGGTGACTGTTCTCACATAATCATGTCTGTTTTTGAAGGGATCAGTGCTTCCCTGAAAATCAGCCTCCAAACTAATCAGAAATGCCAAATATCTCTGAGCCAACACAGTTGGGGCTGAGCTTAGAAAATACCAGCAAGGGGCAACCACAGACTATGTAAAATACAGCATGGTCTCCCACAGAAATGTCCTGTTTGCCGTTTTAAGAATGTGTAAATGCAGAAATGTTGCATTGCTAAATTTAATTTTGCTCTGGCTCCCGTAGGAGTCGAACCCATCAATAAATCCTTAAGGGACACAGAAGACTGCAGACTCCAAACCATGACCACTGTGATTATTCTGTTAGATGTGACAGAGGAGAGAATGAAGCAGGCAGAGGGAGAAAGGCAGTATAAGTAAATGAGGGAAAGGCAGATTTTCTGGCATGAGAGATAGCATCATTTAAGGTTGTCATGGGCCTTTTTTTAGCCACATATTGTCCCAAAACAGACTTACATTTTAAAAGTGACCTCCCACGACCTTAGTACCTAATCCAATCAAACAGCACCACAAGTGGGAGTGTATAGATCACTCTAGCCAATCGTGTTATAGCGTGCTAACAGGATTATGGGGGTTTTAGTGTGCGGATTCCACCCTAGAGCTTTCGTTTTACTACTTACACACATCGCATTGTATTCATATCATCAGAGCCTTCTTGCCTTGTCTTGCATTCCAGCTTCTCATGCCTGTCTCTATCTTTCTGTCTTTCTTCTTTTCTTTGCACCTACTGTAGCCTCTGGCACTCAAACAATGCTGTCCTAGCACATTATTCTGTTAAGATTTCTTATTGTAACCTGGGAGTGAACACTCGCACAAAGCCACGCTGAGAAATCACAGAGACATCCTCCCAAATGTCCGGGGGGAGAAGTCATTAACACTGTTTCTGCCGTATAACACTTCAGAATCTTCATGTGTTTGCTGCACAAAGGTGAGGAGAAGGTGAGAGGACTAATTAGTAATTAGGTAGAGTGCAGGGCAAGGTAGACCAAAAGCATTCCTCTCGCATGGAGCCACTTTGATAAGAGGCACCAATATAGCCCGGGTGCCAGACTGACTCAGCTTTCAACTCGGCGCTCAGTCTGTTTTGCCAAGAGAACAACAAAGGGGCTGGAGGGAGCACAACTGTTCTGGCTCCCGTGCCTGCTAGTTAGAAGACATGAAGCCGGTTTGATGTTTGGGATATGATCCTGCAAATTATGGCAGACTGACAGAATAGATGGATTATTGTTGTGTAATTGCCTAAATTGCCTGCTAACTGTGCTGTCCTATATCTCAGCGAAAGCAGATGTTATGCAGATCTGCAGAGGAAATACAGCTCACAAACCTCACATGATAAAATTAGAATGTGCCACTAGATGGAATATTTACGCTCTCTTTGAACACGAGCCAGCGATGTGTGTGTTTCATTTGCACATCTGTACATGCACTTTACGTTTTTTTGTGTGTGTTTAGAACAACAGGCATACCGAACATGAAATTAACATAATTGAACTGCATTCATCTAAGGTATAAAAGTGCTAATTTTATGGTCATTTCCATTCAGTGCCATCACCATGCTAAATACACACCCCTCTTTTAATGAAGGGAGACCATAAACATGGGGCAAGACCCGACATGTTAAAGTAGACTGCCAGCTCACGGTTTGATCTCGATATTTCAACCGATGAAATCAAACGCACAAATTCCATTTTCAATTGTGGTGTATTTGCAGTGGCTTCTTTTAATTTCTGCTGTATCATAAAGACACAACCACCCATTCATTAGATAGATTGCACAACACAGCGGCTGCGGTGTGCTTTGACCTCTTTTGTGTCCCACCAAAACAATCTCTGCGCAATATTCATTCCAAGGAAAGTTCGGGAAATGATGACCCATTGGGGACACGATGTGAGACGACGTGTCGTTATAGTCCTGGGAACTCATTTTAACATTACCACACAGGGTAGTCGTGTGGGTACTTGTTGTGAGCATCAATGGTTTGCGTGCTGTGGTGTGCATGAACATTGAATAAGTAGAAGTCATCAAAATCACATGCAAAACAGTTGTGTTGTGTAGTTTTATAGATTCTGGTGTTTAGACCCTCCGTGGGTGATCATAAGTGCTTTGTTTACATCTGTCCAAGCTGTGGGAGTCCTCCATGCATGTGTTTTCAAGCCAGGAGCCTCTCTGGCAGCATCCTAGAATTCCCCTGTGTGGTGTGTGCGTAAAAGAGGGGCAAGGCCTTTCTGAATCAGGTTAGCTCGCCATTTAAACAGCAGACAAAAGACTCTGCTAATTAAAACTATGGCTACTTGTGTTTCACTCACTCTCCTTCCCTCCCCTCTGCTTTCTCACTCTCTTACTTTTCACACACATGCACTTTTCAAATGCCTAATTTGTACGCATCGTTAAGCGCTGGACGAACACACACACAACCTAATACGAAAAGACAATGTTCTTTGTGCCACGGCGTCCTAATGAATCCACCCTACAGGAATCGCCGTGGACACCTCATCGGTCACTGCCCTGCTGCCTGTTTGTTTGGTCTGTGTGCGGTCAGTGAGCTGGGTGCCCCACACCAGAGCACAACCCAGAGCATGGTCAAGGCGCAGCGAACAAATTATAGCATGAGTGAACACTGAATAATGCAGCCACCAAAAAAATAACCACTTCATTGTGAGTAGAGTTCTCCATGCAGTACCACACCTCAGGGTGTTGGCACACATTGAAGAGGAAAAAAAAAAATGCCGTCGGCTTTTCGTTCTGCACCAATGAGTGTGGTAAAAGAAGGAGTGACACTGAATAGAGGCTGAATTCTGCTGGTTGAAAAGCATGCTTAAACGCTGGAAGTGAAAGGTTTATGGGAGGAAATTGTTGAAACATGTTAATATTGCGTCCAGAAAAGAATTGTATTGTACAAACACCCTGTTGAACCAAACAAACCTCGAGGATAAGCCGTGTGTAACTAATGCCTATTTATTATCTCCACAGGGATCTGAGTGAGAACTTCATCCAGTCCATCCCCAGAAAAGCATTCAGAGGAGCTACAGATATCAAAAACCTGTGAGTACCCCACCTTCTGCTGTAGGGATGGGTGTGCTTAGCTGTGCAAATAATACTTATCTTCATTATTTAATAATGATTTGGAAGGTCAAATGACAAAACATCCATCCATCCATTTTCTTCCGTTTATCCGGGGTCGGGTTGCAGTGGCAGCCAGCTAAACAGGGCATTCCAGACCTCCATATATTCAGTGACATATTCCAGTTCCCCCTGGGGGATCTCAAGGCTTTCCCAGCTCAGATAAGATATGTAACCTCTTCATCGAGTTCTGGGTCTACCCCTGGGTCTACCCCTGGGTTTAGAGGCCAAACCTCTAAATGAAGGTGTCCAGGATGCATCCTAATCAGATGCCTGATCCACCTCAGCTGGTTTCTTTTGACACAAAGCAGCAAAGACTAAACTCCAAGCTTTCTCCAGGTGTTCAAGCTCATCTCCTTATGTCGCTACCAAGAGCTCATGATCTTGGTCGTGGGTTGGAATGAAGACCAACTGATAAGTAAAGAGCTTTGCGTTCTGGTTCAGGTCCGTCTTCACCATGACCATTCAATGCAATTCCAGCATTACTGGTGACGTTGCTCCAATCTGCCCGTCCATCTCAACTTTAAGGCTCCCAAACCAGACACCATGCTTGTCACAGTTACCTATTGAGATCCTGCCCATGAATCTCCCAAACAGGATGTGAGACAAGAGGCAACCTTGGAGGAGTCCAACACCCACCAGAATAGGGTTTGACTGTATGCACTGGGAATACAACTATGGCTCTCACTTTGGTTGTACCAAGATCGGACACCTTGTAGAGACAGTCCTCGTACCCCACACCACCACAGTACCAGAGTGACATTTTACAGTGCATCTTCTTGACAGTCAAACCCAAAGATATTCACTTTAATTTCATGGATGTCTAAGACAGTCTGAAAATATTCACATTTGAAAAGTGTAGCTGATTTATTGTCTGTTAAATTACTGATTAATTGTCTAGCTGTTCTGGTTGATCAGTCTTAAAATAGGCGATGGTAACTCGATGAAGAGTCAATCAAGAGCAAATCAAATGACAGCTACTGAGTGTGAACAGCAGAGGAATGTTCTTCATTCACAACTTATCCAATGTAATTTCAGCATGTTAGCACTTCACCTGGTCTGGTTAATAGCCTGCAGTGAGAGTAAAACATGTGTTCATACTGGTGCGAATGTTCAGTGGACCGTGTGGCAGTCCGAGCAGACGAACACACATGTAGCTCCCAAAAGATGAATTATAGGGACGGAAATTTACATCTTCACCAGAGTATGCACGCACATGGACACATAGATTTATGAGGTGCATCGATGCAGATAAACAATCAGTCCGGTCCCTTTTTGCTACTCCTGGGGTTACATGAGCTGAGATGACTAAACCACTATCGATTTACCATAGTCCATCAGTGTAGTACTTACTGTATCAATGATTACAACTACCCTACAGGGAGACGGAAAGGTTGTGTATGTGTCTTGTGTAACAAAGCCGCTCTCTCTCTCTCTCTCTCTCTCTCTCTCTCTCTCTCTCTCTCGTGTGTGTGTGATCTACAGCCAGCTGGACAAAAACCACATCAGCTGCATCGAGGACGGCGCCTTCAGAGCGCTGAGAGGCTTGGAAGTGCTGTAAGTATCTGAAGTGATGCTGTTCATTTAGCCCAACCTTGTAATATTCCATTAAAGCACTTATTTAAATTAAGACATTGTTTTGCCCTGCTGCTAATCATAACTAATATATACACATCGCGCAGACCTTGGTTATTATACCAAAATGCCCCCCTGTGGGCCTCCTGAGGGGGCCTGCATCATGGAGACCAAGCTCCATTAAGTCACAGTTGACAGCAGCGTTCCCCTCCATCACATTAACACCCCCCCACCACCCACCCACCCACTACTCCACCTCCATCATCTACACACCATCCAGCCCTGGGCAGGCCATCTGACGAGGGGCGCTCCTACCGTCTTGTTTACAAATTCTATTCAAGTTAGCGTTCCCCGCCTGCACACATTGCCGACCGTGCTATGCAGTTTAAAGTGTTCAATTAATCATCTCTTGTCAAAAATCATAATCACAGGCCTCTTGTAGAGATCTCCACCTGAAAACAATGTGGAGTAACAGTGCAGGCAGTGGGACAAAGGCACTTTAGACAGCCGTGTTATTTTGATGGTGAAAGATGTGATTTTTGTGGAGGGTTTAGGAGGTAGTATCACCAACAAAAAAAACAAAAAAAAGACATTAAAGGCTGCTTTCATGGATGAATTGATGTAGTGATGGGGTTGTCTTAATGGTGTAAGAGGGTATAGGAGGTTGTTTTGATGGGGTCTGTATGTATAGGTTTTATGGGGGAGGACAGCTTGAGTGAAAAAGGGGGAGCAGGTTGAAATATGGTAAAGGGTTATTAGGCTGATTGAAATGACCCGATTCTCTTGCTGCAGCTGATGCCCAGGGTTCGATGGAAATGTGTATACGTGTGTGTGTGTATGTGTGTGTGTGTGTGTGTGTGTTGTATGTTTCTTGTACAAGTAGAAGCGCTTGGGAGCAGGCTCGCGTGCTCGTATGCATGCGTGCATATTTGCATGCACGACTGTACGTGTGCGTGGGAGGTGCGAGGGCTTCCCATCTGTGTGGAATGAGGTGTTATATTCCCAGTAGGCCACAAAGAGAGACGAGAAAAGAAAGAAGGGGACGGATTTAAAGAGATGGAATAGAAGCGGATGGGCACAACAAAACACTTTCTGAAGTGAACATTTTCCAATGACTTTTTTCTTTCTGGCACTGACAGTATGACTTCTCGCTCTTCTTTTTTTTTTTCTTTTCTTTTCACAGAACGCTGAACAACAACAACATCAGCAGCATCCCTGTCTCCAGCTTCAACCACATGCCCAAATTGCGAACTTTGTAAGTCACAAATATCCCTCCCACTACGCTCTCTACCTCTCTGGAGGTATTCTTTAAAATAAAACTATAATGCTCACACAGATTAGAGAAAAGGCTAAAGTTCCATGTGATCTCAATGGGAGCAGACAGGTTCTGTCATTCCAGCCAATGTTGGGTGGCAGCCATAACCACAGAGTACCACAGAGGGGTCTGTAGCAATGCCAGGGGCCATTATCCCCTCCATCTAAAGACAACAACTGGCCCAGAAATACGCAAATAGCCCCAGTAGTCTATTGTGTATTGTGCATTGTATGTGATTACTAAATCTGAAATTATGCACAAATTAAAACAATTATGCCTGCTGAAACTCTGAGCCGTGACTCCACTGCTCTTGTGGTGACATTTTGGGCTTCCTCACTCCCAGTGGGGTTATATTATATAGCCTTTTCCTGCTTGTGTGTACACTATGTGTCTGTGCACAGGGGTTTGCAAGTTAGCATACATGTTCCCGAGGTCCACCGCACCACAGCAAGAGTTATTCTGGACCGACACAGAATCGCAGGAATGCAGTGCTTGGAGTAGTTGGTTTAGAAAAGTCCTCTTTAGTGTTCCTCTTTTTTAGAATGTGCCATTTGCAGTCGTCCATGTAGCATATCATTTAGTGTGTTTTGCCACAGGGCTTGGATGTGATGAGTTGGAGGAAAGAATAGACACTTTTTATGCTATTTATGTCTTCAGCGGGTGGTATTTTAAATAGACAAAGTAGATCTCATTTAAAGACCCCCTTCTGTGAAAAGGGAGTTTTATACCCGTCTCTTAAGTGTTTTACTATCTCAAAAATACAAATTCAGGCTTCCAGGGTTTCATACGTAACAAACCTGGGGAGCTAGGTCTGGATTCGTCCTCAATCACTCAGTGTTACAACTTGCCATCGTGTTGTGTGGAGTACTTTTACAGTGTTTGAGCCAAGCAGGAGAGAGGCAGAGACTTTATATATCTGCACATTCTAGAGGAAGCAACGGTATAGCGTTACATCTAAGCCATTTAAAGTCAGGAAGGGATCATTTTCATGAGATACACTTCTAAATATGTCATTTTGATGCACAGAGATGAGTTTTTTAGGGGTTTCATAAAGGACCGCAGAGAGTCTTAAATGCATCAATTTTTTTCTCTCATTTCAGCCGTCTCCACTCCAACAACCTGAACTGTGACTGTCATCTGGCCTGGTTGGCCCAGTGGCTCAGACAGAGGCCTACAATTGGTCTATTCACCCAGTGCACCGGCCCTCCTGAGCTCAGAGGTCTCAATGTGGCAGAGGTACAGAAGCACGAATTCAGCTGCTCAGGTAAGATTTATTCAACTTTAGAGGAGTAACACCTCCAAAACAGTGCATTTCACATTGGATGCAGTTTATTTAGTCATTTACATGCACGTTTGACAGGGAAGCAAGTTTCACAGCATCTCAAAAAGGGTTGCAATGACACATGAGTACTTTAATCAGATCATTCACGACAAACACTTCCTCTCCTAGGTAGCACTTATTATCCCTCCCCTCCTTCCACTCCCGGTGTGTTTTTGTGTCACTGTGTATTCACCTGGCAGCCACCTGACAAACTCCTCTGCCCCCAGGCAACCCCCACAGCGCTCCTCTGGCTGTTGCATGCGTATCCAGCTTTTAGGAGCTGGCAGTGATGCTCGGAATATACCCAATATATATAAAACACACAGCTGGAGCAAAGGCTGCCCCCACTGACAGTGGAACCCCTCTCCTCGGTTGTCGTTATTTATGGCCTTTCACCTCCTCGCACAAGGATTATTGTGGCTTTGAAGTCGTTGTTTCTCTCATGCAACGTGTGTGTGTGTGTGTGAGACGGAGAGAAAAGAGAGAGCATGTGGATGTGGGCGTGTCGTGGCGTGCACTGGGGTTATCATATCCGGACAATGGAAAAACAGCATGAGAACCTCCACTCCCCACAAGGCCATCTCACTCGCAACACCAGCTGCGAAGGGTGTTTGTGTCTACGGTTGTGTGTGTGTGTGTGTGTGTGTGTGTTTGTGGGTGTGCGTACCTCTCTCTGTGTCTCTCTCTCCATGGGTTGTGATTTTTACGCAGCCATACGGCGTGACAGCACAGATCATTAACTATTCATCGCCCAGGGAAAGAGACTCAAAGCGTGGGAGTGTAACGATTCCAGATAGGAAAGGGGAGCAGGGGTTTGTCAGGAAAATTTTGGTTTCTGGTAGGATACAGATACAGAAAGTTAAGGCTTTTGCACGACGGGGAGCTGCGGCTTACATAGCACGCAGCTATAAGGTTCCATCGTGTATGAATTTTAAAGGATTGGTCCTGTGTGAATCTTAACGGTAAAACATTTTGGGAAAAACAAACAGTATGTATTTCTCTCTGTGTTTAAGTAGTCAGTCATGCATTCACGCAAACACATGCTCCCAGTTTCTTCTTGAGAGGATGAGTGACCAGAAGTTGAACTCCCAGTGAAGGACTCATTAGGGACTGGCTCGCTGGCACACACATACACACACTTTTTTTTTTTTGTTTTTGTATTTTTGATATTCAGCACAACGTGGTCGTGCATGTATTTAGTTTGTGCTGCGACCAGGCCAGGCCACCTGCGGGGGATTTGGGGCAGGGTGGCTCTGTGTTGGACAAGAGGAAGAAGAAGAAGAAGAGAGAGAAAGAAGAGAGGCATGTTGCTGAGTGAGAGGCAGAAGAAGGGAAACGGGGTACAGTTTGTTATTCATTGATGCAAAAAATGATGAAATTCTGCAGCACTCTCAGTGTTATGAGTCACTGACTGTCACTCCCAGTATTTGGCTGGAAAGCATCACTATATTGTAAATTTTTTGCCAGTAATGAGCAGAGCAACACATTTACTGCTTCGCTTCGAGGGAAAAATATTTTTCCAGGCAGTCGTTTGTCATCAATCGACTTTGAAAATGAACAGATCCAAAATCCGAATCTAGAGCTCATTATTTTCAGTTTTATAAAAGCGTTGAATTTTCTGCTGAGTATCTATACTTAATGTTGAAAAAACATGGAAAAGCAGATTTAAAAGGCATTAAATCTAGCTGAAAATTGAATTTTAAAGTTGAACAGTAGGACATGCATGTTTTTAAGATTTAAAATCTGGATCAAAATCAGTTTCTCTTAGCTCCTTTTGAGAGAAGTATTGAGAAATGATCGGGCTTACCTACATTAAATACCACTGCCAAACCATTTTCATACTAATAACTCAAAATCCTTATATTCTAGTTTATGTTAGAGTTGCTCAAGTTTGTTTTATTGGCCTCTGCTGTGATTTTATCGAGCGTCGTAGACCCCCTTTCTCCTCTTGATCATTTACAGCAGAGGAAACTCAAATTTAGAAGCTGCTTGTGCCAAATCAAGGTTACATGACCGAATGGCTGTTGTATTGAATTACTGCTCGCGTGTAATAATAAATGAAGTCAAAATATTATGTTTGAAATGAGCGATTGGTAATGAATTGCTTCAGGTTTTAATAAAATACAGCTCTTGTAGTGAGTGGGAAACAGGGAAAGAAATGACTCTATAAAAAAAAGGGAGGGAAAATGGGAAAGAGACAAATGAGAAGAAGCCAGTGATAATATTTTGAAATGATGAGAAACATGAAATGGAGTGAAGTTATATGTATAGACCTGTGAGCAAATGGACAAAAGGTAATGGACTGCAGTGATACAGGGGGGCGAAAATGAGGATGCTAAAGGGAGTGAAAAAGAGCAGAGAGAGCAGGTGGAGGAGGGGAAACTGATGGAAAAGTGAAACAAGTAAAACAAGGGAAATGGGACGGGAATAGAGCCGTAGAGATGGCGGATGGGAAAGAGATAATGGGGAAAACAGCAGTAGGAAGAGCAGGGGAGGAGAGAACATCAAACAGCTTCACCTCAAGTATACCTGTCAGGGAGCTGTCATTGTTAAGGCCGCTCCAGCTGTGCTCTGCACTCTCCCTGATCCCAGGCCTGTCAAACATGCCATGTTAGATCAGAAGGGAGTTTTTCTCTGCCCTACACCTGATCCCAGATCTGTCAAACCTCTGCCATCCCAGATCACACGGCCTCAGATCACGTGGGTTGAGCGATTGTGCCAGTGTTGATTCACACTCTTGATGCTATTTGCTATCTGATTCCCAGATCTGTCAACGCATCCCTTCCCGTCAGGTTGATTGTGACCGAGCAGACGTATAAAATCTGACCTTAAACATTGCTTATTAGTGAAATTGGTCAGAGAGCTAAAGGCAGTAATTTGATGGTAAACCATAATGTTTCTTTCTGTTTTCGGGAGCAGAGTTTTGAGCACTGTGCTTTCTCTGTCACTAACTTTCACCATCGCTCACTCTGTCTTCGTCTCCCCCGAATCCCTACCTCCCCCCCTTTTCGCTCTCTCGCCAACATTTTCCACACAAGCTGAGCGATAGATAGGGAGGTAATTAAATATTCATGGTTTGAAACTCGGATTAGTAATGCTGTGTAAATGAGGCCATTTAAAAGTCTGTTTTATTCATTTTATCTGGGTTAGACTTACATACACACATCTTGTACACACACACACACACACACACACACACACACACACACACCACACATACCAAACAAGCTGCACTGGCAGTGCAAGCGCCCGCTCTTCACCACACCGTTGACAGTGCCGTAGCTATTTGAACAGGTATCTAGAGACAGCATGATGGGCTGTGTGCTCTGTATGCAAATTAAAAAGTTGAAGTGTTTTAGAACAAATGGAAGTGAAGAGGTGGGGGTTGTAAAGCTGAATGTGCAGAATGGCATCAATTCCACACAGAGAACGCAGACTCAGGAGGAAAATTTGCGGTGAGATCAATGGATGTTATTGGGAGGCCTTCAATTGCCACTCCAGCTCTATTATTCAGATCTTTCTTCTCCCCTCCATATATTGTGGCACTCCTTTGATAGATAACCTAGTTTCTTCCCCACTGATTCTCAAGGATATACGGCTTTACAATAAAGTCAAGAGTGGGATGTTTCATTTCTTTTTCTCAATGTCAAAAACATCCCTGGGAATCTGTGTGTTCATTTGGCATTCACTTTATACAGCACAAAAAGGTTGATGACATGAGCGGCGGCGGAGAGATTGTGAGCTTCACTTGGGAGCAAGAGCTGCTCCGAGTCGCTGTACAAAGCCTTCAGGGAAACAGTCTCATAATGTAACACCGCTTATCTTCATGCTGCAACTATTGAAACCAACAAATCCACCTGCACTCACACACCTGTCGGAGCTGCGTATTCCTCTTTTCTCATCATAACATATCCTCATTTTTCACCTCTTCTTCTCCCCTCTTTCTTTCTCCCCAGGACATCAGGAGTCTTCCAACCTGCAGCCGTGCAGCATCGGTGGAGGCTCTTGTCCTGCCATGTGCACCTGCAGTAACAACATTGTGGACTGTAGAGGGAAAGGTCTGACCGCCATCCCAGCCAACCTGCCTGACAGCATGGCTGAAATGTGAGCACGATACCTACTTTCTTTAGTCGACAATCTCACCCCCAAATTTAAAAAAGTAGCAAAATCTGCTGTTTTCAAGGCCCATTGTAAGCAGGTACAAATGCACAGCTCTGTTTATAAGAGAATAAATTAATAGTCAGTTATCTTGAAAGGATATTTAGATTTCTGCCTGCGTCCTCATTCAGGCTGCTCGTCATGTTGTGGAATAGAAGTAAATAAACTAATGGCGAACAAGAGGTCATACCTGTAATAACGCCACAGACATGGACATAATTCAGTATATGTGTTCACATTAAATGGCATGAAGGTGATCTTTGATTAACGATTTTCACAATTTTCAACTTATTAAGTAAAGCTCCTCCAAGTCAGAGATTAAAACATGGCTTTGTCTCATCAATCAGCCTTTAATTAATGTGTTTGATCATGCGTTGGTTTAACTGGGCTGAGAAGATTAAAAAGCACCTGTTTTATGTACATGTGAATTTTTTTTAACCATAAAATCACCTGGCAGGGTGTCCATAAATTTGCAGTACACAAGAAAGACACAGAGTAAGAGCAGACTTGGACTGCATGCTCTTATCAGCTCAGATGGCTGTGAACCACATGCGAGTGCTTTGTTAACATCCCTCCCTCAGTTTATCAGTGCTCCAACATCTGTCTGGGCATTAACTGTTTGCAGCCCACACGCTATTAGCCTACTGTAATTCCCGGGAATGCATGGCTAGACGTTTCTGAAGTAGTTCTTTTACCGTCGTTATCAGGGGTTTCATGCCACTAGTTCGAGGTCTGCATGAAATGGTACAGCAACACGGTGATTTATTCATGGTGTGAAAAAAGGCTGGATGGAGGGAGAGCGAGCCAGCGGTCGCATTGCATGTTCTTCCAAGGAGCATGTGTGTAGTTAGGAGGACACAGCAAGTTTCTAGGTCTCCTCCTCCCCATGGGGTCTGTTTATAAATACCCAACTAGCATGGAGGTCACAGATCCCATGTTCCCCAACAACCCTGGCCCATTTCTAGTGCAGTGGTGTGCTCAATTTCCTCATTTGGACATATACTTCACACTTCTGTGTGTTCCCGCCTAATTGAATGACCACCCACGAAACGCTGAGATATTTTAAAAATCATTTTAAAGGCTTCACACATCCTGCATTTTGACTTTTGAGGTGTAATTAATTTCAGCCCTACATGTTCTGCAAACCATAAAACATGGAAAAACCGAGATGCAATTTTTCTGTGTTTTATGGTTTGTAGACCTCTTCGGCATGCCCTCCGGTTGTAATGTTCCACAAGTGGAATATCATAAAGACTGATGTGATCTATGAGCCCAATAACCAACGAGCTGCACTAATGGGAGAACAGGGAGAGACTGCTGAAAGATAGCTCTTCCATGCACAGGTTTTATAGACAGAGGATTCTGTCTGCACAGCAGATGAGTAAAGACATTTTAAAACTTGCCCTGCCCTTCACATCTAATTGGTGCTTAACCATGTCCCGCTAATAAATAAATGTTCTAATTCATTTTTTACAAGACCAGAGTGATGGAACACTGACTTCTATCACGTGCTTTCCTCCTGCCCCATCAGAGCTTTACCTTACAGGTTCAATTCCCACAATGCTATTTTCTTCGCTTCTTTCTTGAATTTTTTTTTTCTCCTCTACATTTCTTTCTATCTTCTCTCCCTCTTTCCCAGCTTGCCAAATCACCACAGGCAGGTTCAAGGAGGCAGATCACTGGTGAAAGAATAAAAAAGGGAGGAGGGGTGGCGGGGGGTGTCCGCTCAGTAACTTGGTGCAGGAGGTTTGATCTGTGCTTGAAGTTCATTATAAAATCAGTTTCAATTGCAGCGAGGCGGGCTGCTGGGTATCAAGGCCAGCCTAATGCCTTGTTAATGAGCACTCGGAAACTCACATACACACACAAACACACACGCATGCTGCTCTCATTACGTACAAATCGGAGAATTGCAACCTCTCTGCCCTGCTCTACCCTAATGAATGCCAGTGTTGTGTTTATGGCTGCGAGGATGTGAGCTGGTTTCTGTACTCCTCTCTTGTGAGACCAGGCCCAGTTAGCCTAAACACTACCACCACAGATTATTATGCACCGTAGTCTCTGTCTGCAATGACTGAACCATGCCATAAAATTCTCAACCCCCCCCCTCCCCTCCTTCTGCCTTTCATCCACGCCGCTACAATCCTGCCATCCATTTCTGACTCACGCACGCACTGGGTGAATACCCAAAGGCATAATGTGTTTCCCTTTAATGAAAACCATGCTCAGACCCTAATGAAAAGGATGAAGAGCATTGATTGGGCTGACACAAACACCAGCTCAGAGACACACGCAGACAGACACACACATACAAATGTTCAGTCTGATAAATTGGATGGGAACCATTGATTGTCCGTCCACAGGCGACTCTGAGAGATTGTTTCTTGTTTTTTTTCCTCTGCCAATTGGACGGAGTAGCTCCTTTGTTGATTGCAGGGATTAAATCGCTTGCACATATCGGTCTGCGCGGAGCGACAATGCGAAGGCTAAAAAGTTGTCAGACAGCATTGTGTTTGCGTGTGCCCTTGTCTGGCTCGGAGGGTTTTTGCTGTATGTTGACACACACCGGAGCACCACAGCATGTAGGCATGCACGTACACAACCGATAGTGACACTGAAACACATGCAAACAGCGTGTAGAGTGCCAGACTGGTTTGGACCAGTCAGACAGACTGGTTGATGAGAGAAGGCGCTAAAGCCACTTGGCCCACCACTCTGCCGCATGGTGAGGGCAGAGGAACCACAGCGCTGTCACTCCGCTGTAAATCCACAGACACATTGGGACAGGCAGACAAAAACAGACAGAGAGAGCATGTCCACCGCAGGAATCTGTGGTCTGGAATCAGCGCTATCCTAAGAATGTCAATTGCGCTCCTATATCGCTCCATAAATGTCGGCCACTGCTTTGAAGCGGGGAGGATTCTTGATTGAAAAATTTGGAAGCTCAAAACTGTTAAATGGCTGTGGCTAATGTCTAACAAAACATTTACCCCCCATGAATAGACATAAACACAGCGATGCAGGAGGCCTAAAGAGGCATGTCGTAAATCTGAACAGAATAATTAAATCATGTGGAAATGGTCCCATGCCAAGAAATCACATACTTTCAGAAGGTGGTGGATAAATCTATCAGCAGCCTTCTGTTTGCCAAGAAGCTGTGCAGATTTTTAAATATTCCTCATTTTCCTGCGGTGACAAATAGCATCTTAATGATCTTTAGATTCCGTTGTAGCCGCTGGCCTACCACAGCTCGCGCAGGCCTGTGCCTCCTGGTCTGCAGCCAGTTCCTCTGCTGGGAGGCAGAATGGTAGAACAACCAGACGGGCCTGCAGCTGGCTCCCTCTGGGCCCTGCTAAGCCTCGGTAAGGACAGTTTTAAAAGCTGTGAACTGACCTGCAGATAAACAGCCCTCTGCCAGCTACACCAGGGAATTGGTCTGGGACTGAGCTGGGTCCTTAGTAGCAGCCTGAAACACACATGCATGCCCACACTAATGGGGTTTAGGGATGTCTGTTTTCTTGGGACCATCTGAGACTGATTAGAGTCTGTTACCGCTCTGTACTGGATGACCAAATGTATGTTTGTCTGTGTATTCATTTCATTCTTTGACAGTTGTTTTATGGTGAGATTATGTCAGACCCCTTTCTTGTCAACTTGCTCTTTGGCTCACAGGAAAAAGTAAACTCAAAGAAGTTATATTTTACCACGCTGCAAAGGTTTCAGTGGACACTTTGCAGACACCCAGAGGATGAGGGCAAATTTCACAAGAGCAAGTGAGATCATTATTGATTTCAGAATCTCATATGAGAACATAAGTGCTGGAAACTGTAAATGTTATACCGCGAAGAAATATGACTTTTAGTCAAAGGCCTTAACACCCTCGCACAAAGTGAGATGGAGCCTTTTCCCCCTCCAGGCCTTTTCCACCGCACTTTAATATTCAGACTGTTTATTGGTTCTGAGGATGTTATGACTCCAACATGCCTGGACCTATTACAGCTGGGGAATAGATCTCCGCTAATATAATCAGGCCAATCACCAAGGGTCAGAGGTGATTACTCAGCTCTGTTACCATGGAGAACTATATTGTTTGGTTAACTAATGGTGTCTCCTCTCCTCTCTCCTCTTCCCTCCTCTTTTCTCCTCTTTTCTCCTCTCCTCTCCTCTCCTCTCCTCTCCAGACGTCTGGAGCAGAATGGGATTAAGTCGGTCCCTCCCGGAGCTTTCTCTCCCTACAAGAAACTGCGTAGGATGTAAGTACAGCGGTACACTCACCTCAGGGCTAAATAATACAGATGAGAACAAGAAGTTGAGAGCTGGAAAAAGAAAGCGACAATTGGCAGTCTTCACATTCCACTTCCAAGGAGCATGAAGTATTTATTTTGTCTGTGCCTTAAGAACATATTCTTGTTCTCAGACTTAGGGTGGCATGGAAAGCAAGCACTCAGATCCTACATGAGCATAATAACAGCTCTCATTTTTCATTGCTGCACACTGGTATTCCCCTGGCTAGTGTTGTGTCCAGTCTGTGTATGTGTTGTGATTGTGTGGGCAAACTGCCGGCTGGGACGACGATGAGGGGACAGAGAGTGTGCTGGAATGAGGGCTGAGGCTTTGCTGTCACTGGGAGTGAACGGTGACAGGCTGGTAGTTGAGCCTGAGTGGTTTTTCACCCATCCAGCCAGCTGCCCGGTCACCTAGCCAGCGCACACCAGTCGGCCAAACCCATAACTCCCAACACCACCAGGCCTGACCGACATAGCAGCAGGGAGACGGAGGAAACGGAAGGTCAGGGAGTTTCTCTGCCCTTCTTGAAGGATTCCTCGCCGTTTTATCATCCGGCTCCGGGGACAGTTTAAAGTTCAGATGAGGTGAATACAGAGAGGTGGACAGGCCCGAGCAGCTGCTGTCTCATTTTAGAGTCAGGGGATTCTCAAGATATTTTATCTTTTGTACAAAAACTAAAGCATTTTATGCGACAATATTGCAAAACTGTGACTTAACCAGGCCAGATTTCTACATTAAACAAAACCATTTCAGTAAAAAAGCAATACAGTAAGATTGAAGCATCATTACCAGAAAATGGGTCAAAATTTTTTAGTGACTATTACACAGACTTTCTTGCAGTTTTCAGAGAATACATAAATACCAGATTTAATAGCAGTTGCTGAGTGAAACATTTACGATAACGAATCCAAATATTAATAAACTGAAACTGGAGGGAGCAACCGATATCTTCAGCAAGTGAATATTTATTTGTTACCACGCGAAGACGGAGCGAAATTTCGTCTAAGTAGGTGTTATCCATCTGTTCTTCCAAACAAACATGACCTGCTCCTGCGGTTACGGCTACTGATTCTGCATTTAGCAACAACAATGCATGGCCGCATGTCTGCGTTGACCCTCGGCGTCTCTGTTGATTCAGCTGGCTATGTGCCCTCACTGGCCGGGCCTGTCCAACACCCTCAGCACACAGCATGTAGACAGCATCGATACATCATGATGAATACGGTCACTCTCCTGGGTCTGGCTCTGCAGATGTTCACGTGCGTTTTTATGTTTCACGGTAAAATATTATGTAGGAAAAATGGGTAGATATAGGCAAAATTAGCCAAGTAAAAGTTTGATAGAAGCTGTTGTGTACATGTCTGCGTATTTGTTTATTCATGGTGTGCCTCTCCTGACCCTCCGCATCCTCTTCTCCCAGTAACCGTCTGCCACACACATTCGCTTTCACCTTGTCCTAGTTTGGATGACCTTCACGTGAACCGCCACTTTAGACGGGGATGCAGTAACGGTCTTCATACACCCATCGCACACACTCACAAACCAACCAACGTCTGAGTTTACAGACACACACCAGTGCATATGTTGGCTTCTTTGCTGCGTTTTCATTTCCAGGAAACCTCAGTCCTTTGCAAGAAGACAAATGGGTACTTATTTAACTGTTACCCCCAAATGAGAAAATATCCCTCTTCTTCACCACATGATGATTTTCCTTCAAAGGTATCCAGTCGACTGGAGTTCAGTCCACATACTCCATTAACTCCCTCTCTCCATCTGTCTTTCTCTCTTTCTGTCCCACTGTTCCCCATTTACTGTTGCATTTACTCACACAGACATGCACACATAAACACATAGACACACAGGCTTAGTGGTTATCCTGTGGGGAGAGGCCTGCGGATCCTATTAACAACAGCTATGTTCAGAGGCAGTCTACTGTATTTCGCTTTGGATTTCAGCCTTGCATTACATTTTTTGCTTGCACACACACCGTGATACGACAGAGGATGGCTTGATAGGCCACAAATAACATGAGTAAATGTTTTGATTGGCTGCACAGCTCCCTTGAAGGGACGCATCATCAAATGTGGGAGAGAGCTGGAACTTGTCCTCATCCAGATCATGCTACATTTGCTTCTCCTTCGCTTGCCAGTGACAGGCAGGGTACTTGCATCCATGCCACCTTCTCATCAGGAAGGCGTTAGGTGACATTGAAACAGGATCTGAAATCCCAAATCTCCATTTCTTTTCACTAATTCTCTGACCTTCCCCTTCACCACAGAGACCTGAGCAACAACCAGATCTCAGAGATAGCTCCCGATGCCTTCCACGGCCTGCGCTCCCTCAACTCCCTGTAAGTGGCCCTGAGCCAAGTTCGTGCAAAAGTATCAACCCTGGTTGTCATTTGCCGTGTCTAAAGCAAAGCTTGTGTTGTGATTTCTCAGTGTTCTGTATGGAAATAAGATCACTGATCTGCCCAAGGGGGTGTTTGACGGCCTCTACGCCTTGCAACTCTTGTAAGTAGAAGACACACACACGAACACGCTCTGCTGATACTTTGCAGACATACACTGAACACCAGCTGCCCTTTACTCCCACTCAGCAAAGGAGTCATAACCTTCAAGTAAACTTTGTACCTGTGCATAGTTTTCTAGTTGGAATGTATAATGAATGAATGCATGAAGAAACTCTGACAAGCTGCTTCCCCTCCCTCTCTTCCTTCTTTCTTCCGCCTTCCCTCCCTCCCTCCCTCTTTTCCTTCTCTAAGGTTGCTGAATGCCAATAAGATTCACTGCGTTCGTGCCAACGCCTTCCAGGACCTGCAGAATCTCTCGCTGCTATCGCTCTATGACAACAAGATCCAAACCCTCGCCAAGGGCACCTTCACTTCGCTACGAGCTATACAGACCCTGTGAGTCAAACACGTACACGCTCTGACACATGCTGAGCCGTTACCATAAAACATGAGCCAACACAGGAGTTGTTTACTCACAGGTCTGTGTAATAACACGGGAATGGAATTGTGAGGTAGAAAACAGGGGAGTAGATCTATCATCTTCACAAACACACGGACACACACACACACAGCTTCTGCGGCCAGATTGAGATCAAAAACAGCACATACCACACCCAGTGTTTCCACCACGGTTACTCAGACGGCACCAATTCCGTCTAAATGAATGTCTCCTTTTTCCCTGTCCCAATAAACAAGGCAAACCACACGCAGTTATCAATACAGACCCCACACCGTGGCATCGGAAACATGCTGCATAACAAAAGTTTTCCGCGCTGTCATGGAAGACACCTGTTGAGGGTGATGGATAGTGCTGCCACACACACACTTACAGAGCAACGGGTATAAGTGTCTCAGGCTAAAAACAAGCTTCTTTTTGTGCCTGCATTCTGAACAAGGGATAAAAATACATGTTGAGCCTTCTCCCAGTCATCCAAACTGACTGCATAATTCCAATGGCAGCACACTCTTCAAACTTACGTAGGGCCGGGTGATACGGTTACATTTATTGCTGGAATGTCTGAAAAATGAGAAAAAAGTTTTTAAAAAAATAAATAAAAGGGCACAGGCACTTGATTTTAAATGTGCACAAATAGTCAGGCGTACAGTCAGCATTCACCTGTGGCTTCACACAAGATTCAAATCCCACTCTCCTGAGTGAGGGTCCTCTGTTTAACACATTACACCACGACATCCATCCCCATCACGGGCTTTGTTGCACTTTATACTCTTTCACCTGGTTTGGGTGAAAACCATGTGACTGGCCAAAATCTCCCGTCACAGGCTAGATTTTCTAACGCCTGAACACGGAGCCAAGAGGAGGCGCAGACATCTATTTTCCTCCCATCCACTTGAATTACAGCGTGCTGAAAGGTCATTAAGGAATTTGTGACTAATGACGACATAAATATACGGCCTACCTCAGCTTTAATAAGTGTATTTTGCAAAATCTATCTATCAATTTCCAGTTAAATCGTTGCATCGTACTAAAATGTCAAAGCATTCCTTTGACATGATCATTACATTTTAATGCGGTTTTGCTTCAAGTCAATAAACACTCATGTAAAACGATCGCTCCATGCTGAAGTTTATAATGCTGATGTATCTACAAAGATGTTATTATGTTTCTGTAGTTTCAGGGGGAAAGTCTGTTGTAAGTTTGTTCCTTTCATATCTGCCTCTCTAATCTTTTCAATCCCCCTCTCTGTTCTCCAGTCATCTGGCGCAGAACCCATTTATTTGTGACTGCAATCTGAAGTGGCTGGCAGACTACCTGCGCTCCAACCCGATCGAGACCAGTGGCGCCCGCTGTGCCAGCCCACGTCGCCTCGCAAACAAACGTATTGGACAGATCAAGAGCAAGAAGTTCCGCTGCTCCGGTAGGCCGGTGGCTCTGTGTCACTGTCTCCCCTGTTTATTCCTCCTCTGGGGCTCTCTGTTTCCCAGACAGGCTTTGTTGTTTTTACTCCACTTGTCTCTCTCTGCTGCACTCTTACCTTCTCTCTTTCTCGCCGCTGGGAGTGGCTTTTATCCCCGCATTGTTCCTCCCTCTACCACATACCACATTTAATGAGTGATCATTCCTGGCAAAAGGTTTTATTCGGCCCATCATTTGCCGTGCCGGTGCTCCTCAATCAATAACTCCCCAGACGGACTTGGGGCCAAGGAGAGAGGGATCGTTCGCGCTTGCTCCATTTTCCCTCCATATTACCACATCGTGAGTCTGGTTTCACATTCAGACCACAGTGAGCTGAGGTCACCAGTCAAGGCTGGTATAAGGGCTAAAGTTTCTGTTCGTGCCCACCATTTCCCTCACCCTCTGCCAATCTCGGGCTCTCATCACTCCCAGCCTCCATCTCTGTTTGCCCGTTCATTGCTCTCTGTTCGCCAGGCTCAGGTTTCCTTCATGCCCCCTTTCCTCTCTCACTCCTCCTCCCTGCACCAGCCAAACCCCACCATCTCCTCTCCCCCCCACCACCCCATGCCCACCATTGCGTTTATGCACTGTGCCATGCTCTCTGGCACTCTGGTACTGCTGAGGTTTCACACGTCTTTATAGCCCCATTTGTTTGGCTCGACCTGCTGAAGAAGGCAGTCCATGTGTTTTTCCTCTTTCTGTTCACTTTCTTTTTTCCCTTTTTTGTGTCTTTCTTTCTGTCTTTCTCACTGTCTCCTTCTTTCCCTCATGTCACTCTTCCTTAGCAACAGCCAAATATTTACCACCTTTTTCACATTGTTAATAGTTCCTCCATGTTGTCACGCACAGAGATAGTCCTAGGCTTCTCTGTTTAACTGTCATATACCTTGAGTCATGTTTCGTCATATATAGGCTCTATATATGACTGTTCTGAAGCATAGCGATGCCACAGCTATGCTGGCCAGACTGGTCTCACTGACATCCGTCCCTCTTTCTTTTCTCCATCACAGCCAAAGAGCAGTACGTCATCCCAGGTGAGTGGCTTGTAAATGTTCACACCTATCATTGTCTTTCCCGCTTCTTTAATTTTCCACCTGCAGCCATGTAGCGGCATCACTTTTTCCATTGCTTACTGTTCGTTTAATAAAATTCTTCCACAGGTTAAAGAATAACTTTAGCTTGTTACAGCTTGGGTTAGCTTTTGTAGTTTTGTGTGTAGTTAGCAACTTTTTGCAGAGAGCTGCAGAACACAGGAGCATTGCTAAAAAAGATAAATAAATAAAAGTCAAGTGATGCAAGTAACACAACTATTCAACAAACCTGCAAGTTCGCCAAACTTATACGGAAGAGAAAACAGTATGTGCAAGTAGTTTTCTTGTACAATGAGGATTTTTGTAGTTTGGTTTTCCCTCCATCCTCTCTTGAAATAATTACCAAAAACTATGAAAGACCCAAGTTGTAATAAACTGGAATAATGTTTTGATGTGGATGAACTTCAGAGGAAATAGTCTTCACAGAAAAACCATTGTGCATTTAAGAGTAAAATTAGTTGAAATTTGCTGGTATCGGCACTTGAAGTATTTTTGTACGAATAGCTAATTGGGCCCGAGAGTGGTTGTACCTATGTGTGATGTTTAATGTGATATGTATGTGTGGGAGCATCTGTTTCTTCTCAGCTCTGTTTTCCTAACAGTCTCGGCACACGGAGTCAAAAGGAAGTGTCTCTTTGCTTTGGCATTAGCACAGACAGTCAGTCAGCGAGAGGGACAGAAAAAGGAGGGAGGGAGAAAAGGACAGAGGGGAAGGAAAGTGTGTCCTTTCTATCAGTAAAAGCTAAAGAAAATAAAGCCCACCAGAGGACCCAGATTCCTATCAGCGGATGTTTCCGGACCTCTTAACAAGAGCACTTCCAAGAAAATAACTAGGAGGAGCAGTGATGTGTGTCGGACCCTTGCGCGCCCATGTGTGCGTTTGCGGCGCTGCGGATGCTCGTGCAGTCCATTGTCTATGTCTGTATGTGTGTGTGTGCGCGTGCGTGTGTGTGTAAATTAATGTGTCTTTGTGTGCTAAGTAGAGATAAAGCTCTGCACTGGCTTAGAGAACAAATGGGAGTACTATGTAAGCAGAAGGAAGATCAAAGCCAAATGTGATTAATAAGAATTTCGCCCTCCCTGAATGATAACAATAAAAGCCTCCACAATTCACACACACACAAATGCATTAAACACACACAATCACTGACAGCACGGGAATTCCATAATACATTGATAATGAGGAACCAAGCTGCAGGGAATTATGAGAACTTCTACAACTCCAGCGATGAGTCATTTTGCACCTCCGAGAGGGAAAAAAGCTCATTCCTCTCCTCGCTGTTTTCTCCAGTTTCGTGTAAATCTGCTGACAGTAAAAGTGTCGCCACCACGCTCTTGTGACAATGACGATGACTCAGGCTCACGAAATCTCCCCTGGCTCCTCTACATCCTCCAGATCAAAGCGCTGCGCTGTACTTTCATTGCTTCCTCTGTAGCAGGAAAGGCCTTTTCCTGTTGTCTGGCCCAGCGAGGGAAAGTTCCTTAATGACCAGCATTACTATGTCTGTCGGCACCCTCCACTGAGCCACTCGGAGAAGTGACACGGCTTTCAGAAAAAAGTCTTTGCACAGGCAGCCAGAGGAAGTCGTGTCTGTGAATGCCATTCTGTCTTCCGCCGTCCAACTTGTGCTCTAATAAAGTCAGCGATGAGGGTTTGGGATTAGGTTCTGGTTTTGGATGCCGCTCTATTTATTTGGACAGATTTTTGATACTCAACCGTAGGATTTTGTCCTGGTTGTTTGAGGTTTTCCTGCTCATGACTGTGGTCTGGGTGCCCCACCGTGTCCCGCTGACGTCATCCCCAAACCTCAGGCACAGTGGTGCAGTGATGTGAGCATGCAAAACAGAACGGGACACAAAACAATTTCCTCACAGAAAAATGCTGGGCTGTTCCCTCTAAATGGAACATATGCACACACATCAGCTCTACACGCATACAGACACACATACATGCGCAGACACTGAGACACAATACACACTCTCACAGACACACACACACACACTGTTCTAAGTAGCTCCCAGTGCTGTTCCATTATTGAGCAGCCATGATGTAACTGGCAGCACACTTTTTGGCACGTAACGTCTATTCATAGACAGAGGAGGTGCAGGAAAACGTCCCACACTCCCCATGCTGCCTCATTTTTGCTCTTCCTCTATGAGGAAAGACGTCTCTCTGCATCTCCGCCCCCCAACTTTTATGTCTCTCTTGTCTGTCTCCTCTTTCACTCCTTTCTCCTCTTTCTTTCCCGTATGCATTTATGGCCCTCCTTCTATTTCCTCCCTCTCCGTCCCTCTGACTCCACCTGTCTGCTTCCTGAGCATCTCTTCAGCCACCTCTCTTCCACCATCCCTACTCTCCTGGGTGCTCTGCTTCACTGCAGCCGGCTGCCCAAATCCTCTTTCTCTTCACCCCACTGCTCACACTCCATCACCTCTCTCTAAAATAACTCACCCTCACCCATTCATCTCTCCTATGAATGGTGAGGGAGTTGCAGGATGTCCTTAAGGGTGTCTAAGGCTAAAGATGAGGTAGGGAAGCCTTCTCTTAGGTAACAGCGGGACAAGGTGTACACCTGTGGAGGTATCAGATGCGTGACTAAGAGTGCCATGGGAAAGCGAGGCGCATGTGTTGGCGTAGGAAAAGCTGCTGGTGTCATTTTTCAGTCATGAGAGTATATGTGTTTGCATTTTTCTTCTGTTCAGGTACTGAGGACACCCGTCTGAATAATGCCTGTAACAGCGATCCAGTGTGTCCTCCTAAGTGCCGCTGTGAGTCCAATGTCGTGGACTGCTCCAACCTGAAGCTCACTAAGGTCCCTGAGCACATCCCTGCATCCACCACCGAACTGTAAGGAATCATGACAAAAGTCTTTTCTACACTGTTTGCAGGGAAACACAAAAAAAGAACTAAGACTAGGAAACACTTTAAACTCAATGTAAAGTTTTGTTTCTATGATTTAACTTTTGAATCTTGTTCTTTGTAGCCGCCTTAACAACAATGAGATTACAACCCTGGAGGCAACCGGCGTTTTTAAGAACCTTTCCCAGCTGAAGAAAATGTAACTCACTTTACTTTTTAACATTATCCCTCAACAGTCATCCTCTATAGAGTGTTGAATTAAATCCTCTGATGTGCTTTTTCTCCCCAACAGTAACCTGAGCAACAACAAGATCACAGAGATTGAGGATGGCGCATTTGAAGGTGCATCATCCGTCAACGAGCTTCACCTCACGGCCAATCAGATCGACTCGGTTCGAAGCGGGATGTTCCGTGGCCTTGAGGGACTTCGCATGCTGTGAGCTGCACACTTGCGCATGTGGATATTTCTAAAATGTTAGATTTTTTTTCTCCAATTTTGAACGTGGTGTCACTTTCTTTCCTTTTTAGGATGCTGAGGAACAACAAGATCAGCTGCGTCCACAATGACAGCTTCACAGGGCTTCACAACGTCCGTTTGCTGTCCCTGTATGACAACCAGCTGACCACAATCACCCCAGGAGCCTTCGACACTCTGCAGACTCTCTCCACTCTGTAAGATCCTGCTCACACACACACACACTCACACACACACACACACACACACACCTCAATCTTTCACCTTAAGTTTCATTGCTTTTACAACCTCTTTTGTGCTCATTTTCTCTCAGCAACCTCCTGGCCAACGCTTTCAACTGCGACTGTCGGCTGGCCTGGCTCGGAGACTGGCTGAGGAGCAGGAAGATTGTGACGGGCAACCCTCGCTGCCAGCGTCCGGCCTTCCTGAAGGAGATCCCTTTGCAGGATGTGGCTCTGCCCGACTTCCGCTGTGAGGAGGGTAGGTTCCACCACAACTGTAGTTTTGTTGCATCTTCTCCACTTTGAATGAAGCCATTTGTCTCCTTGAAAGGAGATAAACATCTTCAATATAGTAGATAACCCTGACAATGTGTGAAACTAACCTGTCTGGTTGTGACTGATGAAGATTTTAACTTTGCACTCTGCTCCACAATCCGTTATGAGCAAGAGCTGCTTAAAGTGTCTGAGATCACCTTAAATAATGACCGCTATTGTGTGAGTTTTTTGTTTACTGAATAGATTGCTATTCAGCAGTTCCTAAGCTGCTGGTCGATGCCGGGCTGAGTGGAGCTATTGAGCTGTTTGCCTTATTGACCAGTCAGCCTATTTGCACCTGAATGACTGCTAGACTTGTCTTCAGGCCTCGGGCAGCTTCCATTCTTTGCTCTTGCTGGTCGATATTACATTAGCGAGGCTCCTCTCCCCTCTCCCTCTCTGTCCTGTTTTACTATTCACATTTTTCATTTCCTCTTTCTTCATTGTCTCGATGCCTCACCAGCTTGAAGGATTGGGATGTTTTGGCACTGTCTTGCCTTTAGGTTTGCTTTGTCTTCCATCTCTTTCTACAGGTTTTTTTTTTTTTACTTACACATCATTTTTACTAGAGACAACAGCTCTTCTTTTGGCTTGTCTCCATCTCTTTCGTACCCTCCTGGCCATTCAATATCTCACTTCCCCCTACCTTTTCTTATTTTTTTTTCCCAGGCCAAGAGGAGTCAAGCTGTGTGCCCAGACCCCAGTGTCCCAGTGAATGTACTTGCCTGGAGACTGTGGTGCGCTGCAGTAACAAGCACCTCCACACCCTGCCTAAAGGCATCCCCAGAAATGTGACTGAATTGTGAGTACCTTGGCATCAATTGTATTTATATTCATGGACTTGACCGGTTTTGTCTTGATTATAAACCAACGGAGATCTTATAAAAAAGTAAAGAGGCGTTTATGAGGCTCAGCACAAGATGAGAGTTTGCGAAAACAGCAGAGGCGAAGAAAGCAGATCTCATCATTTGGAGACGAGGAAAGGAGTCAATAAACCCTGTAGTTATTCTCTCAGACATTCTTCTTCTGTGTTCCTTGCAGCCTTCAGGGCTAACACTGATGTCACTCTCACACTCAGAGCCAAGGATCAGTGTGTGTGTGTGTGCGTGAGTGTGTGTGTGCATATTTGTGTGAGGGCCAAAAGCCTGTCCACAGGAGCATAGGGGAGCAACAGGACATTTTAATGAGCAGTTTTCAATGGAAAGGGGAGGGAATGGAATAGGTCTGGAACTTTCCAATACTGCTTCAAGTGGTTCTGACTAACTCAGCTGCACACACACACATACACACAGATGCACACACACGCTGTGCAAGCCTTAAGGCCTGTCATTGTCCCAGCAGGTGTGACCAGGTGTACCCCTCTGTTCTGGGCTTTCATCTAGTCATCTGGAGAGTTTGCTACTCCATCATTATCCCAAGTGTCCTCTGCACCATCATTACCTATCATTACCTCTGAACCCAAAGGCCTCCTAACTAACCACCGGCCCCCCACCGCCACCCCCTGCCCTCCCCACCCCGTGTACAGTCAACAACAATAGCTTCAAGGCCTGAAGCTCTGCCCAGAGGCACTGGGCCCTAAATCAGCCATTGATCAAAGTGACGGACCATTGGTAGCACTTTGTGTCCGCAGTCAGCAGGGTGGTTGCATTCCTGCGGGCCTGATGTTAATTGTGATGGCTCATACATAGTTAGTGCATTGTCACACATATGCACATGAAACACACACACACACATACACACAACTGTTACTTAAAAAAAAAAAGGTGCTGGGTCACATTTAGCACTTGCTTCTCCCAGTTCAACAGTCCCAGTAGACATTAAATGTAAGCAAGTATGTGTCTGGAATAGCCTGTACACAGGATGCTTACTAAGCCTGACTTCTAAGCATGAGACACTGAAAGACAAAACATTCCACCGTTTCAAGCAACATGAGACTAAATTGGCTGCAGCAGCGTGGGAAAAAGTGATGTCCTGCAAAAACAGTCTGCAGGTCCTAACCTAACCAATCCACAGAGTCAAACTAATCTGCTGACAAAAAGCAGAAAATAAAAATATCCAAATGTATAATTTAATCAACTTGCACCAGCTAAAACACCTCATTAATTTAAGATATTAATGTATTAATAATTCAATTCAGCAACCTCTAATTAAGTAGCTTGGATATCTGTAAAACACATGCTTTGACTTGTGTTCAACTGAGCAGCAGCTGAGTTACTGTCATCTGCAGAGGAAGCAAATCGCTCAGTAAAAAATATGGCTGAGCAAATAACAACTGCAGATCAATTCAGTGACACTAAAACAACTTCATGAAATTTGATTTTCTTACAATAAAAAAAACATTCAGTGATTTAAAAAATAGACTACAGAGCTGTAAGGGAAATCTTAGACGGTACATACATTTAAAAATGTGTAGACAAGGTCGACTGCTGGAGCTCTCGATCACATCACACAATCCTCCTCAGCTGCAAGCTTAGGTTTGCAAGTGCAAGAATTAGCTTATCCAAACAGAAACGTCGAGTGCAGATGTTATACACTGAGCTAATGCAGTCTGATACACCAGTCGTGCAGTAAATCTTAGGTTCTAATCTTCTGGTTTTGTTTAAACTAATTTAGAGAGCTGTTGAATCCCCTGTGGGGGCATTGCAGGACTGTTGGATTAGATTGCATTAGTTTTCATTAGGTGCACTAAATAAACTGGCGACTGAGTGTGTGTAATTTTATGGCGGTATTATGTTTTGAAGACTGTTTCAGGATAAATGTCTCGGACTGAATGGATCGCTTTGTGTCTCTTTGTTCAGGTATCTGGATGGAAACCAGTTCAGTGTTGTGCCAAAGGAACTGTCTACCTTCAAATACCTACAGCTGGTGTAAGTGTTTGTTCATCTGCTTCCTCCGTCACTCTGTGCAGATCAGTATAGTGAACAATTTTTTAATTTTCCTTCCAGAGACCTGAGCAACAACAAGATCAACTCTCTGACCAACTCATCCTTTGCGAACATGAGCCAACTTACCACTCTGTAAGTCCTGACCAGCCTCAGCTGTCAGACCAGAGACCTACTATTTCATTCTAGTGCTGACAGTAGAATGGAAACAGATGAATTTTATATACATGCATATGTAATTATTTTTACATTGCAGAATCCTGAGCTACAACTCCCTGCGCTGCATCCCCAAAATGGCTTTCAGTGGACTGCACTCCCTTAGACTGCTGTGAGTTTATTTTTGTATTTTAAATGCGTCCTTTCCTGTACATATATAAAAGTGTGTTCTCCTTATTATGTTGGTCTAGGGTTAAGTCTTAAAATCCTATTTTTAATCTATAATGTATCTTGCCAGTTGGTATGAGAGAGTTTCAGTTTTTTTCTCATGCAAACCAAACGTTTGAAATGTTTCTTTGTTGTCACATAATTTCAAGACGATGCTCAAAACAGAAACTTCACTGAAAACAACTGAAGTTATTTTGAAAGAGGAGTTCTAAAACAAGATAGGACTCACTTTCAGGCTAAATGAGTTATTAGGGAAGATATTTTTGCAGCTTGCACTGACTACAGAGGTGGTGCAGCAGATGCTGAGAATCTTTGATTGACTCCAGAGTACAGAAACACAGTCTAAACAGTTATGACAGCTTATGAATCCACACACACACATACACACACACACAAGCTCCGACCTATTTTCTCTGTTGAAATGGCAGCCGTGGGGGCAGCAGCAGTGTTGTTCCAGCTCCTGCTCCTAACCGCACCTCTTCTTCAGACATCTGCCCAGTCGGCTTGTTCACCTCTAAGCGCCCCGAGCTCATCGCTGCCTCACCATGAGGGCCAAACACGCGCCCCCACAACCCCACTGTACAAAATCACTCTGACACTGATTACCGGAGAATGTTTGCCCCGCTAACCGTAATGGTTTCGACTGTGCCTTGGGGCTTTTATGAAGTTATGAAGTCTTTTGATTGTGCACTCTCAGTGACCATGGGCTCCCCTGTGGGTGCATTGGTCTGCTAAATAACTGAGATGTAGAATGTAAATGCATTCGACAGATAGATGACGAAATCAAACCAACCTTTGGAATTGCATCCAAAGATAGAACAGCTGGATGCCTCGCACTTTAACTCAAATGTACAGTTTAATTCTGCGAGGGAGAAACTGAGACCAGGCCCGGCAGCGCTCCTTATGAGATTATGTATGCATCTGTGTGTCTATGTGTATGTGTGGATGCAGAGTCTACATGTTTGTCATCTACTGGCTTGGTGCCCGTTACTATGTGTGTGGGAGTAGACTTATCAGCCTTCCATGTGTTTTCATAGCGGGCACACTTTTTATTACTGACAACAAAGCTTCAACAAAGCCTCTTTTTACGGCGGGATTCAACTAAAACCCCCGATCATTACGAGACACAAAGCGTAAGAGCCCTTTTAGCGTGGAATGAGAGTGAAGCTCGGCCATCATTAGCTGATGCCGCCCTGCTAGCCCAGGCACGTCGCTTTGATCTCTAATGAAGCTGCGTCCGTTATTTCTGCTCTTACTCACTCACGCCACCTTCACTTCTAAAATATTCCCTGTGCAAGTGTGCTAGACGCCATGTGAGGCCCTCCCCCAGTGCCACCGGCCCCACACACACCATCCAGACCCAGAACTATATACAAGCTGAGACATACACACACACACACGTATGCACAGACTGTCTGGACTACCTTATTGTCTCAGTCAGACGGGAGTCCAAATGAAGCAGAAAACTTTGATGTCTTTACTGCTGGTGTGATCAATCGTAAGCCTCCCATTAAATGTCAATTGGAGCCATGGTGTTTTTTTCTTTTACTACGCGCGGCTATGGGGGTGCAACAAAATCTGAAGCGACAATGAGCTCCATTTAATAGTTTCAACTTTAAGACTCCACAAAGGGTTCAAAGTTCAAAGTTGGAAGCTTCATCGAAACCACAATGAGATGCCAAAGACGGCTACAAACGTGACACACTTGTGTACACACACACACACGCACACACACACACACTGAGGTGCCAAAGCCTTTATAAAGCTGCACCTTTGGCTTTACACAGCTGTAAAGAGGAGAAGAATCATTAACGCTCAGTTCTTCAAACAGACCAGAGGTCTGAGCCTGGCATGGATGTGGTGTGATTGTAAGTGGTGTGGTGTAAGTGCGCACATGCATGTGTGTGATGGTTGTGGTTTGAGCTGCGGATTAATAAGCTGCTAATTGGCCTGCTGGGTATTAGGTGTGAGGTGAGTGAGCTGAGACAGCGCCAGGGCGTGGCCCGGAGAGGGTTTGAGTGGCAACCTGTGAGAACAGAGTGTGATAAAGGGAAAAAAATGAACCAAAAAAGAAAGTAAAGCCTGCAACAGTGCCATGAGTGCAAAGCTAAAGCAAAAACATGCAGCTCAGAGGACTCACACAATCAGAAAACAGTGATAACTGGTTGCAGGTGAACAAGTCTGCGTGAGAAGTTTGAGCCAGTTCCGTTGGGCAGCCTGTGTGCATACAGCCATGATCCATCATTTTGTCAATCAATTACATTCTGAGAATTGTGCCAAGCTAGAGATAAGTTGACACGGGACTGACAGAATGATATACAGCCGTAGAAAGGAAAAGTAAAAAGACACAGAGAGAATGTTAGCAGGAGAGCAGATCAGGTTTCCTCCTGGAGACTCCCTGGCTCCTTTTTCCCATGAGATCTCAGTCTGGCTGGCACACTGCTGCTGGCTTCACGCCCTCACTATGCCCCGACTACCACAACCCACCTACTTGCTCGACGCTAATAAGCATTCTCTACGGCACACAGGCCAATTACCGCGCTGTCTCATACTGGTTACATCGTATATTCTCCCTCTAGTACTCCTTGCACCGAACAACTTCCCTCCCTGTGTCCTTTCCTCTGACTCTTTCAGCAGCTTAGCGGTAATTGAAAGATCAAACAGTGAAGGAAGTTGGGTTTCAAAGTCTGTTTACACATCAGTTCTTCTCATCCAGGCACAGAGAGCAGATGTGTCATATATTGTTGCTGCGGACTGAGCTGCGGTAACATTAGCTCGCGGTCAGCTGAGGGTTTGAGGTGGTAATGACCTGGCGGATTACAGCAGCCATCAATCATCTAGCCATTAAGCCATGTAGGCTTGTCACCCCAGATAGTAGTCAGAGAACAACAAGAAGTACAACAGTAGATATCAAATAGTGTATGTGCGCACAAGACTCAATATAAATTCAAGTGCCTAAATATGCAAGCACATAAATATACATGTTTTTTCTGCTTGCACACATTTACATTAATGTTCTTCACTGTCCTACATGTGGTGCAACCCCGTTACCCCCCTCGCTCTGTACCCTCGTCGGCCCTGCCAGCCAGACGCACAAAGAAATTTGACACCAGTCTTTTCCAGACTTACAGAGCCTCATATCTTTGCCAGCTTCACAAGGCTCTACCAGAAATACAAACCACCTACCACTCTTTGAGAATGCCAACACAACACTGAAATATTCCTCAACATTTTTCCGGGTATTTCTGGTCTCAGTTGTCGGAAAACAAAGTATAGAAGTAGCACAGATAGTTATTTTCTTAATTGTTTAGTCTGTTTGTCTAAAAATGCAGATCACAGTTTCCCAAGAGGACTTTTTTTTTTAAGTTTAAGAAGAAGAAGAGCCGTAAATCCTCGCACTTGCAAAGCTGGAAATACCAAATGTTTTTGTTTTTGTTGATTTGAAATGTGACATGTGCCAGTTATTTTTTGCCAATTTACTAATCAGTGAATTGTCTAATCATGACAGCACAAGATCTCACTTTTTCTCCTCTTTGATAAAATATGTTCTTTGTCATCTTCTTCCCCCATCACCCCCTCAGGTCTCTCCATGGCAATGAAATCTCCGAGCTCCCTGACGGCATCTTCAACGACGTGGCCTCGCTTTCTCATTTGTAAGTAGTGACACTACTACTGAGTTTGTGAAGTGCACACCCACATGTAGACACACACAGTCGCAGGTACAGAGGGTGTCTGGTCAGCGTGGCTCACAGTGGCCTGCCTGTTGTCCTCTTCGGTCGGCTCCGCGTGAGCCGAGCCCTCCCTTAATCAGCTGCAGTCCTGCGGTTGAAGCAACACACAGACCCCTCTACTGTCTCATCCCCCCCTGTGACATCTCTGAAACGCACACATTCACTAACAAGCACACACACAGATTCTCCACGGTCTGCGGACTTTAGTGTTTGTTTATTTATGTCTGTAATTTTGTGTGGTGTGCAGCCGTCGTGTGGTTGCGCGCGGACTTGTGAGCATGTGTTAAAAAAAAAAAACTACACACACTGTGTCTTTGCAGTGTGCCCCCTGTCATCCCGCCTAGATATTTACATCATCCCCTTGACAGCCACTGATCAATAGACCTATCAGTGTCAGAGCCGGAGAGGACGAAGGGGAGGACAGAGGGAACTAAACAAAGACATTGTGTGGAGAGCAGGACAGGAGTCAAGGCTGCATGAAAACTGGGTGAAGGGAGGGATGGAGGGGAGCCATTGATTCACAGTCACAGTCAAGTGGCTTTCATGTTAGCAGATGTCAGGTGTCGGCTATTGGCCCGGCCTGAAAGATGAGCCTGTGTTCCGCCGTAATGGAACAGCATCGATTCAGGAGTGTTTGTGCATCCAGCGGGAGGACAGAGCGGCATTGATTCACGACCACCATGACGGAAGCGGTTAAGAGTGCCTTGTGTTCACACCATTGCCTATAATTGAGAAGCCCTCCTCTAGATGATGTATGGCACAAAGTGGCATTGAGTGTTAAACTTTTAAGCCGCTTTATTCTCAGAGACGCGGTGATTTATTTGTGTAGTACACCAAGTTGAGTTTGGTGTACTTTTTCTTTTATGTAAGGATGTAGAGACACCTGCTGGCGATAGAGCGTACTACATCACAGGACTTGATCGTAGCAGCCATCCTGTGTCACCGAATCACTGATTGGTTTATTAGGGTGCGAGGACCCTATTGGAACTGCTCGGATTATTATTATTATTCGTGCCAAAGACACGCGTTTTTGAGGCCCTAAACATACTCGAAAACTCACCAAAATTGCCATG